GCAGCCCTAGTCCCAGCTCCCTCCCTCCTTCCTTCCTACATTTTTTCCTGCCTAGTCTCCCTTCTTTCTTTAAAAGTGTCCATCTTTCTCCCTTTTGTTTCTTTTTGGTTACTTCCTCTGCAATAAATAGAAAGTCAAGTTTGGTTTTTTATAATTTTAACAGGATTTTAGTGACTAAACTCTGGAATAAGGAAATGTATAAGTTATAGTAAACCTGACTGCATCACATAAATGATCATTAGACGCTTTGTTCTGTGTTATTGAGGTGGAAGTTTTCTCTAAGAAGACTCGGCAGTACTTAAACAAGTTGACTTGAGGTCATTGTGTATTCATGATCATGTTTGCTCTTCCAGTCATTATTCATGTCTGCTGTTATATCAGTGCATATGTGTGTTTTTAACCTAAACAAAACACACATTAAAGATGGTTTAGCAGTCCTGTCAGCTCCACCTGTATGGTTACACATGTGTTTCTCTCCTGGGTGGCCAGGAGCTGGTTTAGCATATGGATTAGTCAGATAATAAGATGCGTGACCACATTGACTCGTTGTAGATGGTTACAACATTAGAGCAAATGAGCAGCTCCACTCCAAGAAGCAGACGAAGGTCACATGGGGAACTAAAACTCTATCTCTTCGATTTAATGATCCAGAATATAACAACCCACCTTTGACCGATTCCACAGGAATGGATTTTAAAGTGAAGGATCTAAAGACGGCATTAACCTTTTACGCCTCATTCTTTTAAAAAATTAAAGATGCGTAATTCCTAAGATTCCGTTTTCACATACAGTAGCTGAAAGGTCAGTTACCTTAATAGCTTTAATATTTAAAAGACTTTTCACTTTGGATGAACAAGACAACAGACAAGAAGGAGATTCCAGTTTCTTTATTTAAAGATTAATGTGAGTTTTTTTTTTTTTTTTAATCTTAATGCCTTTTAAAAAGCAAAATCCTTCAACAGAGGCGCTTGGTTTCTTGTGTAAAAGAGGTGCAGCTCGCATCTGCTCCGACATGTTTGTGAGAAGTCCTGAAGGCCACATATTCCAGCCCATCTTTCTTTTGATAAAGCTCCGGGATATCATGTTTGTCGAGAAGAATTACTTCTTTATCAATTCACACTAAGATAGGATTGTGTTCAGAAGGAGAATTCATTGGGGAAAAAAAGGTGTCTGTGCTGCCAAGCTGCCAGGCTAAATGTCATCTGATTTGGAAACAGCTGTGTCTCCTGTAACTGAGGAGATACTTTCAGCCAGAACATCTGTTTATGAATTTTTGAACATAAGTATTTATGTCTTTTGTTTGCATTCAATGAAATGAAGTAGGTGCTTTTAACAAGCCTGCATTAGAGCCAAAAGAATTGGCTAACTAACACACTGGACAGATTTTTTTTTTTCTTTTCTTTTGTCCTGTCCGGCCTCATTTAGGACTGAATGCAAATATCCCAGCTGGCTGGTTTTGGATCAGAGGTTAAACAGCTGAAAGATGAGGTCAGAGCTGTTACATCCAAGCTGAGTGAGCCATTTAAATGCATTGCCTGCTTGGACACAAAGGCCAGGGACACACACGATAAGAAGAGTCTCCAACACCATTGTGGCTAATAAATGACTTCCATGTCTGCCTGAAGTGCTGCAGACCTCTGCTATCTCTGGTTGTTTATTCATGCAAGTGAAAACATGTTACTCCCATATTCAAGATTATCCACAGAGAAAAAAACAACAACAAAAAAACCTCTGCAGAGTAATTATGCATCCTCCCATGAAGCGTCTTAAAACGTGTCTAATTGTTGATGTGCTCATCTGACTCTGTGCACACATGTTATATTGTAGCCCTGAAAAACCCCCCAACCAAAAACAGATGTGAGACGTAACTCAATTTCCCGCTGCCAGATCAATTTATGAGATTCACAGCAAAGAGGCAGAATCCGTCCTGTTCAGTGTAAAAACAAATGAACGCCAAATGTAATTTGGTCAGATGGTTGTACATCAAAATCAAGGCTGTTATGTTTATAGGTTGAAAAAATAGACTTCTGCCATCTGTTCTGTGCATGCTGTGATTGTGCAGAGGTACACAATAAAATTTGATAGTGAGAAGAATCAATTCAAAATGAAAAAACCTGTCATTATTTGTGTACCATTTTAAGCAGGACTGGTTTTGATTTCCTTTGGAATTAAAGATGGGAGGAGCCTATTGTGGTTTAAAATCGAATTGAAAAGTTTGTGGTTTAGATTTTTCTGCAATATATTGTTTGGTGTACTGTTTTATAGGAAATCTAAAAGTTTTTTTTTTTTTTAAACAAGGTCATTCTTTATTTTATTTGTACATTGAAGTCCATTTAGTTCACTTAAAATTGTAATTTGTAGACATATCTTGGACCTGTGCAGCTCCTCCAGATTTACCACCATTATCTTGCCTGCTTGTGTGCCTGGTTAGTAAATTCATTTGGAATGCTTTAGGGTTGAGACAATTAATTACAATTAATTGATTATTGAAATAATCAACTTATTTAGCAATCGATTAATAGTTAACGGGAGGATAGAGACCGTAAAATATGCCTTTATCAGAATCAGAATCAGAAATACTTTAATAATCCCAGAGGGAAATTACTTTTGTTACACGCTCCAGATACAGTTTTGTATAATATATACACACATCCAACTATACAATATAATAAAGATAAAAAAATAAGAATAAAAAGAGATAAAATATATACACATATAGCTCTTCTGTATATATATCTTAGCTGACAGTGCGACCCACTTAAAGCAGGAATTATATCAAAATTGTAAAAAAATATATAAACATTTTTCATTTAAGATAAAAAAAATATAAAATCAGTCAATATGCTGTATCAAAAACTCCTCAAGTGGGAAAGTTTTAGTTTCACCTGGTTTGATTTCATACAAATCTACTATAACAGGGTTCCTGCGGGTCCTTAAAAAGTCTTAAAAGGCATTGAATTCTTCAAAATAAAGCTAAGGCCTTAATTGGTATTAAAATGTCTTAAATCAGTCTTTGGTAGGTCTTAATTTTAAAAACATCATAAATAGGATTTTTTTTAGTACGATTTATTTTTGTAATCTAAATAAAACTTTAAATTTACAATTTTTTTTTTTTTTTATAAAAAAAAAAAAAAAAAAAAAGGCTCTCCATTAGTGGTGCCGTCCCGATAGCGGAAGCAATAAAAGCGTTGTTGCGGCCGGGACATTTGGGAGATGCACCATTAACTTTTTGTCTGGAAAATATGAGCAAGTGTAGATGTAATGAAAATTGGCTCCAGCCAAGAGTTTTCTCCATGGATAAAACCAGGGAACATACATGAGGCTCAGTGGATTTTGTGCAAGAAGTCATTCAAGCTCAGAATGATGGGAATTAAGGCAGTGGAGTCGCACAAAGGATTTTAGTGCACAAAACACAAAGCGTAAAAAATAAAAACATAGCTGCATAAAAGACTTAGCACTGGTTATGTTGTGGCTTTAAAACTGATTTGTTTTGTTCCCTGCTAAAACAAAGTTTATGAATTCAGTTAAATAATTGTTAAAATATATCTGTCATTTGTGTGTTTTTTGCTTTCTTCCAATATGGAAAGTTTTTTTTTTTTATTTGAAACATTAGTGCAGTGGTTTATGTTAAAATAAACCTTTGGGTAAAGTTGTCGCAAGCAGGTTTTTCTTGTGTTTCTTGTGAATTTGGTTTTAAATATTTATTTCAAGTGGCATTAAAAAGTCTTAAAAAGTCTTGAATTTAATTTGCCTTATGCTGTAGGAACCCTGTATAAGGAACCTTTTGCTATCTGATTATTAATTAATTAATCAGAAAAAAAAAATCGACACATTAATCGATTCGCAAAATAATCATTAGTTGAAGCCCTAGTGCCTGGTTAATTGATGATAAATTGACAGGTAGGAAAGGGGCAGGACATTATAAGATGTATCTTCTACCTGCTCCTTTTCGAACAGAAAATATAAAATTTGCATGTCACATGGGCAAAATAATTTGTTTTATATTTTCATTCTTAAGTTTGTTTCATTCAAATTGTTTCTTTCTTGATTGTTTTTACTGTCTGTTCAAAATAAATAAATAAATAAAATAGTGTGCTTCCAGCTGAATGCCCCCCCTTTTCCATATTCAGATAAGGGACTGAGTGGAGCTCTGTGATCTTCAGAGCTTTGGATATTGTTCATAACTCAACCGTTCTGTAATCTTCCCCACAGCTAATGTATCTGTTATGTTCCTTCGTGTCCCTGATGCAGTTTAAAAATCGTCATGACTGGCAAAAAAAAGTCATGACGATTTTTATAAATGATTATATTTGCCTCTTTATATTACTTCTGCCTCCCCTTGATGTTCTACTTTGCGTTGCTCTATAATTTAAAAATCCTATTAAAACACGTTGATGTTCGTGGTTGTCATGTAAGAAAAGAGAAATAAAAGCGGTATGAAAACTCTGCCAAACACTGCAGGGCTGCATCTATATTTGTATCTTAGTGCTTGGCGGCTTCCCCAACGTTTACTATCTCCGCTGCCTACAGAGTCACACGGCTGAACACACGGCTGAAGGGCAGATTAAGGTAATACTGTACCAACAGCGTTTTCTGCAGAGCAGGGAATTCCTTCCCAGATATACGGCATGTGTGCAGCAATGACCATATGAAAGTCACAACATTAACTTGAGTCTTTGTTGTTTGGTTAAAGGATTAGAACATTAAGCCTTTTTAGCTGTATGCCATTTACTTGAAAATCTACCCTCGGTTTTCATTGACAGAATAACCTTTTCGCCTGGTTCCTTTGATGAACTCCTGAGTCGTCCCTGTCTCGGCACCTGCATGCATCAACGGCCACTTGGATTTGTTAGCGCTGCTGCTATCTGCAGCATTTAGCAGACTACTTTAACACAGAACGCCTCCGGGCCGAAAGCTCTCCGTGAATTCTCTTACTGCTTATTCTGCTTTAGATGATGCAGATATTTGGCCGTAACAGACCGTTTGTTTTCTCTTTGCAGATTTCGCTGAGGCGTTTGATGGAATGACAGCTCAAATATAGAGGAACGGTTCTGGAGCGAATACGGTTGACAGCCAAGGTGAGAAGTGTTTTTATTGTCTTGGATTATGATCAAGGCTAAAGTTGCTGCTGAACTGATTGATGGAAGTGAACATAAATCAACGCAAGCTGGGAGTTTTAATGATAGTTTAACAAAGGGGACTGATGTAAAGGTTAGATCTGTTGTTTGCAGATGTTTATTAAAAACTTTCAATCCGCTGCAGGTCTATATTCCTGAAAGCTTCATTTATCTTTCTATTTTGTTAAAAAAAATGCTTGAAAAACAACAGCCAAAAGACAAAAAAGATTGTTATAGAATCAACTTACAGTTATGGTAAAACAAAAGTATGGTCTCTGTTTACATGCTATATTATTCCTTAATTTATCCTTTTAAACATATCGGGAATTGCCTACCAGTGGTGCAACAATTCAACAATAGTACCTGACTGAAAGTATTGATACTCGTAGTCAAATCTTACTCCACTATGAGTAAAAGTTACTCTGTCAATAATTTACTCAAGTTAAAGTATTGAAGTACTCACTTTTGAAATTACTTAAGTATACAAAAGTACATGGATTAAAAAATTCTTGAGTATTCAAAAATATCAGTACATTTCTCTATATTTAAAAAAAAAACGTGTATACCACCGCATGTATAAATGCATTCAGCCACTGCTAAAAAGAAATCTCAAATTTTGCATAAAAAAGGCACAAAAAAAAAAGGACAGCTATTTTGATTAATCCAGTTTAAAGTCAGTTTATTTATATGGCGCAATTTCACAACACATGTCATCTCAGGTCACTTTACGGAGACAATTTAACCAGATCATAAAGTCAGATTGGTTCAAAGTTTTCTATCTAAGGACAACCAGCTGATTGCATTGACTCATTGACTCGAAGGCAATCCCTCACACCAAGCATGCTTGTAGCGACAGTGGAAAGGAAAAACTCCCTTTTAACAGGAGGAAACATCCAGCAGAACCAGGCTCAGTGTGAGCAGCCATCTGCCGAGGCCGACTTGGGTTCAAGGAGACTGAGGCAGACATAAGCCTCATTTACGCTACCCTTTAAAAACCGATCTGTGTTCGGACCAAGTTTGGATCAGTTAATCTTGCCGAGCTTGGTTCCTTACGACTGTATTCACATCACGCTAGCCCATTTCCTCGCATCCTAGTGACGATCTACAGTGCTATTGCTCTCTAGTAAGAAACTTTGATTATGTTTTGTTCCGTCCAACATCACCTGGATAACTTCCTCCACCAAATTGCAATAAGAGCCGCAGTCTTGCCGTCATCCCAGGTTGCAACATGCTCTTTTGAAGCCATTTTAAAAAATTTAGTGTTCAGAAGATTTCGATTGTTGTTTACAGCTCTTCTTCTTCTTCTGTTTTGTGACGGTTGGCAAGCAACTTACTGATGTGCATTTCAGCCAACTACTGGAGACAGTGTTAATAGTAGATGACGCGGTCTGCTCACACGCTCTTTGATATCAGAGAAGCCGAACCCTAATTTTGAACTAGTACTAGTTCTGTTAGCGCGGTTCGGTTGTGTGTGGCACGTTCCGGTTCAGTTTTGTGTGCCATTTACACTCAACATTTATCTCGGTTTCTGTGCTCGGACCGTTCTCGGCACGGTTTCAAAAGGGTAGTGTAAATGGGGCTATAGAAACAGAAGCAGAGACACAATAGTTAAATTATTGTATAATAATTGTTATACAATTATTTCTTATTTAAAAACAAACTAAAAAGAGAACTAGAGAGTCTTGATTCTACTCACACTCTTATTATGGAATAAAGGTTTAAGGTTGAATCTATTGCCACAAGGAAACTGTAACTCCTATTTGAGAACTAATCCTACTGAACACCTCAGCCACATGGCAACAATTAACGCCTTAATGAAATTATAAACTACAAATAATATCTAGCTTGAGTTTTTAACATTTGTAGAATATCATGCAAATCTCTAAAACACTGGTGTTTAAATTCAGTCCTAAAGGCTCCTATCTTCCATGTTGAAATTGCATTTCAAGGAAGAAAAACAGCAACAGTGAATTACGAAGCTAACCTGAGCCAAAAGTAACAAATAACTACTAAAGTAAAGTAAAGGTACTAAATTATTAAAGTACAGTAATCTAGTAAATGTACTTTGTTACTTCCCACCACTGCTACCTACCTAATATATCCTTGGGTTTATTTAGTCGTTTCACATATGGTTTTTCCATTGCTATTGAAGGAATTATTAGTTTTTTTTCACTTGTTAGATTTTTTATTGCTTCCTGGTATGTAACACTCTAGAAGTTAAATAGATTGTACTTTCCTTTTGCTGTGACTGGACTTCATTGTTCCCTCAGGCAATGCATTCATAGCGACCTCTGTAAAAGCTTTACTTTGGCTCTTTAATGAGTGTCGTCTGAATTAAGCCTCTTGGTGGTGTTGAAGGGGGAGATGGTTGGGTGCTGACAGGGTTTTGAGATGCTCTGAAAGGAACAGGTTCTTCTGCGGTTAGTCTCCTGGAACTTAGTCATCCTACTATGAATGTTGACTCGAAAGGTGTTAAACTGCTCAGTTCTGTCATCGTCTGGCCACATGCTACCAGCAAAGTCTCTATTTTCCTTTAAAACTGTCAACCTAATGAATTTTCTTCATGCTTTGTCTTTGCTTTGGACGCTGCTTCATTAACTTTGGATTCTGTGTTGGGAGGAAAAATGGTTCCCAGAATGACTGGCAGCTAAAACTGATGTGATCCTTTTGATTGTTTTCTCAGGGATTTAAATCTTGGATTTATTCACTGGATCCCCCCCCCCCCCCCCCCCACTAACGCAATTTAGACAGCTGCTGAGTGATGCTGAGGAGCAATGCTTGTTTTTTTAAAGCGGCTAATTTTCGGGAGAGCCAATTTTCTCTTCGCCAGCCTTTTTAGTGAGCTGGAACAGATTATTTCTCCACAATTTGCCAGCAAAATGTAAGTAAGTCTGCCTGTACAGATTTTAGTTCTGTTTTAAGTTAACTATACAGTATGTTGTAGAATTGCAGTTTATTTTAATAGCAAAGTTGGGCTCACAAGTTTAAATTAACTGTGGATGTTAAATGGATACATGCTCTTTAGTTTGCCTCTTTGAATCAGGAATGCTCATGTTCATTTAAACTGGTGTTTCAAGCTTCCAAACAGTCACAAGTTTCAGCAGCATTAAAGTCTGAAAAATGGAAGATCACAAGAAAACAAAAACAAAGTCTTGTAACGTTAACGATTAGTTTAGAGAAGACCTGAAGGTCTGGTTTAATTTTTTATGTCCTGGACGCCATAACTTCCCTTCTCCACTGATTGATCAACAAAAGTTGTTTCTTCTACAGCTCTGGGATGGATGGCTTCATTTTTGGATAGATATTGGGTTTATTGAAAAATGGATTGGATCGATACCCAGGAAAACATTCCATTTGGATAAAAAAAAAGTCAAAAATATTAGGGATGCACGATATAATCGGCCCCCTATCGGTATCGGCCTTAAAACTGAATATCGGACATCGGCCACCCCACCGATATTTAAAGGAATAGTACACCCAAAACATGATTAGCCTTCATTTTCTACTCACCCCCATGCTGAACAACACCCTGGAGTACTTTTTTGATATCTCAAATGCATCTGGAGATCTGGGAGGCTTCTTGCTGTCTGCTGACATTCAAATAATGGAGGTCTATGGTGACCGAGGCAGAAAGGTCCATAAAAGTCCACAAAAAACGTGTCAATATTCCTCCATACTGCTGGTCCAATGTATTCCAAGTGTCCTGAGTGGGTAGCATCCAGAATTTACTCGAAACAAAGTCATTTAGAATGTTTGTAGAGCATAAACAGTAGTGTATAGGATTTCCTGAAAGCGCGCACATGCGCGCTCACGACGCTACGGAAGCCGGCAGACCAAACCAGCGCATTCAGCTCGGCAAAGAACTCATGCTCTTCCTCAACACTGAAGTCCTCTGACATTTTTCTTTCGTTGTTTCTTTCTTTGCACAGTAAAACAGCACATTTCTTCTTCTACACTTGCATTATTGGCAGAGCAGACGCTGAATGCGCACTTTCATCTGGTTTGGTCTGCCGGCTTCCGTAGCGTCGTGCAATATCGTGCATCCCTAAAAAATATAAATCATAAATATTTTAAATGTTAAAAAATGTCAAATTAACAGGGGTAAAAACATGCAAACAATCAGTATAGTATGCAAATCAGCGTCTTAGTGTAGCTACTTTTCAAATTATCCAAATTTTTGATATTCCTTGATGGAAAGATAGCGTAACAGTTAGGTTTTAAAGTAAATTGATTAATTAAATAAATATTTATACATAAAGAATCTTCAATTTTCCTTGCTTGAAATTCAGTTTAGCCGCTGGACGTGAAGTTTTCTAGATGTTTCGCCTCTTATCAAAGAGGTTTATTCAGTTCTGATGATGGGGAGCAGTTAGATTAATATACTCTAGGTATAATTAAGAATTATGGGGGGGAAAAAACATGGCTCAGATCCCTCCTACTGGATTGGCCATGGAGGTCACCTCAGGGGTGTTAATGGTCACCTGATAACTCCCTTATAAGAGAACATATCTTCACAGATATGTTCCCTTTCCCTTGTTTTGAAATGTTTGATTTCCTAATTTCATTCAGACACTTGTGGGCGTGCAGATTGACTGTTTCTGACTGTAGAGTTGATACCCCCACCAATAATGATGCTTCAATCCCTCAAGGAGAAACTGAGCAACAACCGATTTGGAAATAAAAACTATGCTCACATTTGGACATCTGCTGCCAAACAAATGTCATTCATTTCTTTTTAGAAAAATTTGATTCCTTAAAGGATTTGAAGCAAATGCAAACCTCGGTTGGTCAGAAGGTCACTCGTCCCTGCCCATCTGTCATTTCAATTATGAAAAAATCTCTTGGTTCATATGTTTCTCATTCATAGCTGCAAATCTATACACCAAGTAATCCAATTGACAAATATGCACAGACAAGTTCCTGCACACAGATGAATGCAAAAATCATGTTTAGACCTACAG